CATCTCCCAAAATCTCTCTCTCCTCCTCTGCATTCCTCTTCCCAGGGGGCATACACGCTTATTATGACCCACTTTTCCGCATCCAACCTTTATTTTTAATCCACATAATTCTTGAATTTAACACATTCATATTCTCTTTTCTCCTTCCATAACTGATCATTTAACATTACTGCTACCCCTTCCTTTGCTCTAAACTCTCTCAGATACTCCAGATTTAATTCCCATTTATTTCCCCCCACTGAAACTCTCCTACCCCCTTCAGCTTTGTTTCGCTTAGGGCCAGGACATCCAACTTCTTTTCATTCATAACATCAGCAATCATCTGTTTCTTGTCATCCGCACTACATCCACGCACATTTAAGAAACCCAGTTTTATAAAGTTTTTCTTCTTCTCTTTTTTAGTAATTGTATACAGGAGAAGGGGTTACTAGCCCATTGCTCCCGGCATTTTAGTCGCCTCATACGACACGCATGGCTTACGGAGGAAAGATTCTTTTCCACTTCCCCATAGATACCATAGATACCATATGAATTATGAGTTTGGCACTTCTGTGATAAAGCATATAATTTGTGATTTAAGTATAGAATTTTAAAGCCTATGTTGAAGTTCATTATGTATGCCAGAGACTTAATTTCATCTTTAAAGTGCTGTTAATTCTGATCAGTGTTACAAGTACAATTTTTATAATGCCCTTAAAAGGGAAAGATGCCTGAAGGTCATTTATGGAGGTCAATGCCCCTGCCCTTACAGCCTGTTCCCAGTCCATGAAACTGGCAAAAATACTTATTTTCAAAACCTTTAACTACAAAAACATATATACACCATGAGGGGCATGTTTTGGTGTACAGTTTTTTTTTTTTTTTTAACAAGTTGGCCGTCTCCCACCGAGGCAGGGTGACCCAAAAAAGAAAGAAAATCCCCAAAAAGAAAATATTTTCATCATCATTCAACTCTTTCACCTCACTCACACAATCACTGTTTTTGCAGAGGTGCCCAGAATACAACAGTTTAGAAGTATATACGTATAAAGATACACAATATACTCCTCCAAACTGCCAATATCCCAAGGCAGGGTAACCCAGAAAGAAAGAAAACTTTTATCACTCGTATAATATGCTTTCGTTTTTCCTTTTGGGCCACCCTGCCTCGGTGGGATACGGCCGGTGTGTTGAAAAATATACATATATCTCGCACACACTCGCTCTCTCACACACACACACAAAAGTAATCATACATAGTATACATTACCTAGGATAACCCAAAAAATCCAGACAGTGCTATACAGTGGATCTATACTCCAGTGCCCCTCATGGAAGGTTCCTTGATGTTGGTGAGGGGCACTTGATTTAGGGAATTGGAACTGTGCTTCAGTTCCCCGAATTAAGCCTGAATGCCTTCCACATCCCCCCCCCCCCCGGGCGCTGTATAATCCTACGGGTTTAGCGCTTCCCCTTTGATTATAATAATAATATACTCCAGTGCCCTAAATTAATAATAATAATAATATTAAACTATAATATAATAGTGTTCACTCATTACTTACTGTAAAATATCTGTAGTCTTAATGCAGAGTGAGAGGAGTAAACAAGACTACATTAATAAACGAGAGAGAGAATGAGTGTGTAGAAGGTTCGTGAGTTATGTAAACAAACATTGTTGTCGTCGTTACTAGCCTGGACATGAATGGTTTTTGTTCACTCTGTCAAGCCGACCAGAAAACCATCTCATATTTGTTAATTTATATGTTTATATGTTATATGTTTCCTAGGTAGTAGGTTGGTAGACAGCAACTGCCCAGGGAGGTACTACCGTCCTGCCAAGTGAGTGTAAAACGAAAGCCTGTAATTGTTTTACATACCTGGAGTTTACCCTGAGAGAGTTCCGGGGGTCAACGCCCCCGCGGCCCGGTCTGTGACCAGGCCTCCTGGTGGATCAGAGCCTGGTCAACCAGGCTGTTGCTGCTGGCTGCACGCAAACCAACGTACGAGCCACAGCCCGGCTGGTCAGGAACCGGGCTGTGGCTCGTACGTTGGTTTGCGTGCAGCCAGCAGCAACAGCCTGGTTGATCAGGCTCTTTTGTCTGTCTCATAAACATGCAAGATTTCAGGTATGTCTTGCTACTTCTACTTACACTTAGGTCACACTACACATACATGTACAAGCATATATATATATACACACACACCCCTCTGCGTTTACTGCTATTTTCTTTCTAGTTCTTGTTCTTGTTTATTTCCTATCTCCATGGGGAAGTGGAACAGAATTCTTCCTCCGTAAGCCATGCATGTCGTAAGAGGCGACTGAAATGCCGGGAGCAAGGGGCTAGTAACCCCTTCTCCTGTATATATTGCTAAATTTGAAAGGAGAAACTTTCGTTTTTCCTTTTAGGCCACCCCGCCTCGGTGGGATGCGGCCAGTGTGTTGAAACAATGATGATATGTTATATGGGTGTGAAGCTTGGGTTGTAAATGCTACAGCGAGGAGGCGGTTGAAGGCAGTGGAGATGTCCTGTCTAAGGCAATGTGTGGTGTAAATATTATGCAGAAAATTCGGAGTGTGGAAATTAGGAGAAGGTGTGGAGTTAATAAAAATATTAGTCAGTGGGCTGAAGAGGGGTTGTTGAGGTGGTTTGGTCATTTAGAGAGAATGGATCAAAGTAGAATGACATGGAGAGCGTATAAATCTGTAGGGGAAGGAAGGCGGGGTAGGGGTTGTCCTTAAAAGGGTTGGGGGGAGGGGGTAAAGGAGGTTTTGTTGGAGAGGGGCTTGGACTTCCAGTGAGCGTTTTAGATAGTGAATGGAGACGAATGGTATTTGGGACCTGACGAGCTGTTGGAGTGTGAGCAGGGTAATATTTAGTGAAGGGATTCAAGGAAACAGGTTATTTTATATAGCCGTACTCAAGTCGTGGAAATGGGAAGTACAATGCCTGCACACTAAAGGAAGGGTTTGAGATATTGGCAGTTTGGAGGGATATGTTGTGTATTCTTTATACGTATATACTTCTAAATTGTTGTATTTCTGAGCACCTCTGCAAAAACAGTGATTATGTGTGAGTGAGGTGAAAGTGTTGAATGATTATGAAAGTATTTTCTTTCTTTTTGGGTCATCCTGCCTTGCTGGGAGATGGCCGACTTCTTAAAAAAGAAAAAAAGTCATGTAGCATGTTCATTATATAATTTTGAAAAAAAAAAATCATAGATGGATTAAGCAAAATGTCTATATTAATGTTTTAAACACATTTAATGCACCTCAGTGATAACAGTAATAATCATTATTAACCCTTTGGGGGTCGCCAGGCCCTCTCAGAGACTTGTTCTCAGGGTCGCCAAAACTTCAAAAAAAAAAAAAATTATTTTTTCTTAAGAAAAGATAAGAGAATCTTTTCCCCATCATAATGACACCAAAGTATGAAATTTGATGGAAAACTTACGGAATTATGCTCTCGCGAAGTCAGCGGTCTCGACGATGTTTATGCATCGGCGATTTTGCCCACTTTGAGCCCTATTTTCGGCCAATTCCAATATACTAGTCGACAAAAATCATAACTATTTTGCTAGAACCCCATCTTTTCTATTGAATGAGTACAAGAAACCACCCATTTACCGATTTCAACTATCCAATAAAGTGTTCAGAATTTAGCAATTTTGCCAATTTCACAAATTTCAAAAGATGCCAATTTCTGAATAGGGTTCAGAATAAACAAGAAAGACATTCCTGGCACTAAAATAACATTTCCTCTGTTCATTAGTCATGTTCCCATGCCCCTTTTACATTCTTTTGCTTTCCACTTTGAATTTTTATTCTCACACAAAATACAAGATTTACTGTTATGCAGACCACTGCATTAGTGTAGAAATGGTATAAATAATATTAGCCCACTTGTGAAAGAATATTAGACTCACCAGTTGACATGTATTGGACGCTTGGCATGATTTGTTTACTTTTGAACTTTGGTAAAAATCGAACATTTCTGCTACTTTGAGCTCAATTTCAAGGTACTCTTCATTGTAAAACCAGTCAAAATCATCTCAATTTCTGTAATATGTCTTCCATTCTATAAAATGAGACCAAGAAAACTAGAATACAACAATAAATACCATACGAAAATACGTACAGTGCAAAGTCGCTGTTTTATTCCAAAAACACGGTCAAAGTTTTTTTTTTCTCATCTACACTGTGCTGCAGGATTTTTTTTTATACTGCGCACACTGACCACATAGACCCATTCTTTCACATGTAGGCCTACCAGCTTTCTCTCACTAGATTTGAGGGCGCTAGAATTTTGGCATACTAGTACGTCAAAAACCCTGGGGCGTAAGCCGTACTAGTATGGCCGAAACCCCCCAAAGGGTTAATATGGCGTCTTCAAGACCAATTACACTCTTAATGAGTGGCTCTGAGAGAGACAAGCAGACAGAAAGACAGACACAGGTAGACAAAGACACACACACAGGTAGACAAACAGAAACAGATACAGACAGACATACAGGTAGAAGATAAACAGAAATACAGAGATACAAACAGACACAGATATACGGGCAGACAGATACAGACAGGTTTATGTGCAACAGTGAAAACAAATAGAGGGTTCAAGAGTAAGAGCATTTCTTGCCACAATCTCCAGTGCAAGATTCAGACTTCAACTTAGGGGCTATGGTGAAATTTACTGTCCAGTTAGTACAGTTAATACAGTATGATGCTGCTAATAGGGCAGGGTTACTCATGCTGCCCATGCTGCCTGCATGGCGCAATGTCGCCGTGAGTATTGTCAAATATTTTACAGTGGTGTGCATCAGCCGGCCCAGCCCAGCTGCCTGATGCACTGTCATAAGTCGAGTGGACGTATGTCGAGCGGGTCGTAAGTCGGATGGTAGGTGTATATATTAATGTATATATATATTTAAAAAGCATGATTTAATATTTCAATTTATTATGGCAAAGTGTAAACCTTAAAATACCTTAGTTGTTACAGCCATTAAATTTCAATAATATAAATTACAACACTACAAAATAATTTTAGAGTCCAGGTCTGGGAATATTATACTGTGGTATTTGTGGAACAGGTGGAGGGTTACCTCCTGGAGGGCCAGGAGGTAATACACTCACTCCTGGTGGAGGCCCTGGTACTCCCTGTGTAGAGGTAGGTGCATACTGGCTGGGAGGTACCTGACGTGGAGTTTGTGAAATGTTTGCCTTACTGGCTGGGTCTTCTTGTGACTTGACAGTAAGTGTGTGACGGGGCCCTGTCTGCCAGGCATCATCAGATTCATCTGTGACCGAAGTATCCACACTCACCTAAATCACAAGAATTTGAAATGATTAATGCATTTAATTATATTCTGGATAAGTATTGATGCACATAATTTTATACTGTACAGTATGTAACCAAATATTTTTCCTAAAGTTATTACAGTAATTTAATATATGATAGGTTCTACAGCAATTTTTTTTTTTAATCTTTGTGGTGAGTGCTTAGAAAGTTTTGGAGATGCCCTTCAAAGCTATAAAATTATTTATTCCTGCATCATGGAATCACTGTTTAAGTAAATCACACAGGCCATTCTTCCTACGAGGCACATTACTGACCCCTCACAGGAGGTTCCTTGATACTGATGAGGGACTACTGATCCAAGGAATTGGGTCTCTTCTTTCCTTGGATAAAACCTAATTACCTTCCATTCTTCAGGCACTATATAACCTTCATGGGGTTGGTGCTTCCACTCAAAGATAATTATTATAGATATAGTACTAGTTTTATCAACTCCATTTCACACTGCTACAGACAGCTATGTGGAACAACAATAGTGCACTACATATTGCTAAGAATGTTTAAATACTATACTCTTAAATTGCAGTTATTTATAATTTAAAAATCCTCTCCCCCCCTCTCAAGGGAGGTTCCTTGATGCTGGTGAGGGGCTCTTGATCTAGGGAATTGGATCTGTGCTCCAGTTCCCTGAATTGAGGCTGAATACCTTCCATCCCACCCCCAACATGCGCTGTATAACCCTACGGGTTTAGCGCTTCCCTGTGATTATAATAATAATAATTATAATTTAAACCAAAACATTGCAAGCAACACACTTCAAAAGTGCTTCTATGTAGGTGAAAGGTTTTTGATTATAGGAAATAGAGCTAGTTACCTTATCCATTCTATGATCAAACCTGACTGCCTCCCACTTCACAGGCTATATGACCCCTATGGGTTTAGCACTTCCCCATGTATATAATTAGTATTGCACATACTTGGTATAGTCCGGGTACAGGAAAGCCCAGCAAGAACTGTGCTGCAAAGAAATCATTGTGTGGTTCTACCGTTTGGGTCAACAGCTCATTTGGCTCAATCTGTAAAATATGAACAGAGTGGATAACATACTAAATGAAGAAAAAAGGTCAAGCAGCATTAGAATGTGAAGAATGCATATGAAGAAAAAGGGGCAATATCAGAGGAAAACAAGAGATGGCATAAGAGAGTAGCAATGAAAGGCAGTGTTAAATAAAAAATCAAATACATTAAAGATAAAACAGGAGGGCAAGCATAGCTGTATTGAAACTGCGATAAATGTATTGAAACTGTCTTAAAATGAAAATGACAGTATCAGATAAATAGAATAATCTCAAAATAAGCTGGCCTAACAAATCACCCATGTGGTAGTTATTTTTATAAGTGGTGGTGGGTCAACACATTCTGGAAGAATTAGACAAAGACTGAAAACAATCAGCAATCCCTTTAAGGGGGAAGCTGTGAATGACTCCTAATCCAGTGAACTAGAGCTACATTTCCCTTCACAGATCAAACTTGATTACCACCCCTATCGATCCCATACCCCAGGTACTGTTTGACCCCAGTGGATTTAAAGCATTTTGTGTGTGACTTTAACCCCTCAAGGAAGGTTCCCTTGATGTTGGTGAGGGGCTCTTGATTTAGGGAATTGGATCTGTGCTCCAGTTCCCCGAATTAAGCCTGAATGCCTTCCACATCCCCCCCCCCAGGCGCTGTATAATCCTCCGGGTTTAGCGCTTCCCCCTTGATTATAATAATAATAATGTGTGACTTTAAAGCAAAGTGCAGTTAACAATGGCTTCTAAAGCAAATGATGGTGCCAAGAGAAAATTTGTGGTTCTCAAGTGTAGTTCTCAGAAATTACATCTTATCCATCTACATTATTTTCACTAGTAAAGCTTCACAGTTCCTCTGGCCAGAATAAAACTTATTCTTAGTCACCACTATCAGCTATGGCAGTTTACACCTCATATCTCTACCATGAAAAGGTGAATAAAATTACTGTAAATTACATAAAGTACTATAAAATAACTACACTACTGTAGTACTACAGGATACAATACCCATATTTATAGTGCCCAGTTGTCTTCTACATCAACGGACCAAGTCCACTACTTCAGAAGACAACCGATCATGAAGTATTAATTTCACAATTCAGGAGTTGCAGACAATTGGAATTATCATACACCCCCTCTCACCAATTAGTCTGTTAATGAGAGGCTTTATTTCATGTGCCAACTTGGTTAATCGGCCAATTTTGCAGAAAAACTACAGTGAAAAAGAAAGACTTATGGCATGTAAAGTGAATATTGAAAAAATAATCTATCAACCAACTGTAGCAAGCAACAAATATGACCATGGTTTTCACTGTAGAACAGTTTACTATATTTAAGGTTAATAAGTCTGGTAAAATAATACTGTACTGTATGTGAGCAACACTGAATGACTCAAATGGGTTTAATAATTTTTTTGATACTAATTTGATACTACTATATGAAGATGCAAGCCATATTCAATCTGTCCTTATATATAACCTCTTTTATTTACACCTGGCAACTATTATACACAATAATACTTCATAAATTATTGTCTCTACTTTGTAATTATTTATAAATTACAAAAACAAGAAAAATAGTCACTTTATATTAATTTACATTGCAGTATATTATATATTATACGTACCTTCAAATCTAAGGTGTGCTGAGGACGGTTTTGAATTACTGAATTAACAGTTAAAGTGACAGAACGAACAGATCTGAAAAGTCCTGGTCTCTTGCCATGACCTATAACACCTTCTACTTTAACTGCTAGCATTGAGGATGTCTGGAACATCAAGTCTTAACTTAATTTATATCCTAATGGTTTCTTTAATTAATCATAAAGACCCACAATGCTTGTATGTAGCTATCACCTGTTGCTCTACATTATGTCCAGAGTTAAATGCAATTTAATTTGGTATGTGTTTAATAATTCATATGTGTTTAATAATTCATAAACGAATCTACTCCTACCTTATCTCCCAAAACATACTCAACCCCTGCCAATTTGGATTCAGGCCTAATAAAAATACTAATGATGCTATTATACACATGCTAGAACATATATACACTGCAATAGAGAAAAAAGAAGTCCCACTGGGGATCTTCATTGACTTACGTAAAGCTTTTGATACAGTTGACCATGACTTGCTCCACGTAAAATTGACACACTATGGTATAAGAGGGCACTCCCTCAACTACCTCAAGTCATACCTCAGCAACAGAAGCCAATATGTGTACGCAAATGGGGCAAACTCTTCTGCGCAACCAATTACAGTTGGTGTCCCACAGGGAAGTGTCCTTGGCCCTCTTCTCTTTCTCCTATACATAAATGACCTTCCAAATGCTTCGCAATTACTCAAACCCACACTATTTGCAGATGACACTACATACGTCTTCTCTCACCCGAGCCCAGTCACGCTAGCCAATACTGTAAATACCGAATTACAGAAAATATCTACCTGGATGAGGACTAACAAACTTACACTAAACATTGACAAAACCTACTTCATTCAGTTTGGTAACAGAGCTACAGATGTCCCTCTTAACATAATGATAAACGGATCACCTATCACAAAACTAACAGAGGGAAAATTCTTAGGAATCCACCTTGATAATAGACTCAAATTTCATACACATATACAACAAATCTCTAAGAAAATTTCCAAGACTGTAGGCATACTATCGAAGATACGGTACTATGTTCCACAGTCAGCCCTCCTGGCCCTATATCACTCTCTTATTTACCCCTATCTCACCTATGGAATTTGTGCATGGGGCTCAACAACAATTAACCATCTCAGACCACTAATTACTCAACAAAAGGCTGCAGTTAGAATGATAACTAATTCTCACTACAGGCAGCACACTCCACCAATATTCAATACACTAAACCTACTCACCATACAAAACATCCATACTTATTACTGCACCTATTACATACATAGAACACTTAACTCTGATATTAACCCTCCCCTCAAACATCTCCTTGCCAACCTCAACAGAACACATGACCATAACACAAGGCACAGATCACTCTTTGATGTTCCTCGTGTCAATCTCACACTATGCAAAAACTCAATGCACATAAAAGGCCCTAAAATCTGGAATTCATTACCTGTAAATATAAAAGAAACACTACCTGATTATAAATTCAAGTCTCTTCTCAAAGATCACTTACTCACCCAAAACCAAATAAATACTGAATAACTGAACCTTATAAATTGTATATCTTAAATGTTTCTCACAATTATATCACATAAATGTTAAACCTAAAACCGAATCTAACTTTATTATTTTTTAAATACACTACCTAACAGAATCACTACCTAACTGAATGCAACCATATGACCTGTCTTTGTAATACTCACTTGTGCTTTATAGTAATCTGTTTACATTAATGTTTTATCACTGATTTCATCATTGCTTAGTTAATCTTAAGTTAATTTTAAGCCAGCCCGTAATGCTATGCATAGTATAAGTGGCTTTGGCATACTGCTCTTATCTGTATTTTTTTGTACCTCTGTATGTGTGCACAAATTGAAAATAAATAAATAAATAAAAGTAAAAGGCTCTAAAAATATATATAGCAATCTAAGGCAAAATTACACTACAAATATTAACCCCAATCATTAATGCAACCTCCACTCACTATATTTGAACAGGAATAGTGAGATAACATATAAATGATCAAACCTGCACAGAGATGGGGTCACCAGGAGTTCTAGGTTGTGGAAGAAGAGCTAATGTTATAGTAGTCTTCTGTAGAGTCTGGAAAAAGAATCGAGGATATGGAAGAGGTACACTTGTCAGTACTTGAGATATTCCCTGTAATAGCTGCAGATGCTGCTCTCTTACAGGCTTGACTTCACAAGACACCTGATGCAAAAAATATGGTATATGAATGAACATTAATGATATCTGTACATTATTATGGAAAATGCTATTATTCTGCTTCTTCTTTTAACAAACCAGCTGTATCCCACTGAAGCAGGGTGGCCCAAAAAATAAAACAGAAGTTTCTCTTTTTAACTTAAGTAATGTATGCACAATAAGGGTTACTAGCCCCCTGCTCCCAGCATGTTAGTCACTTCTTACGACACGCATGGCTTATGGAGAAAAAATTCTGTTCCACTTCCCCATGGAGATAAGAGGATATAAACAAGAACAAGAACTAATAAGAAAATAGAAGAAAACCTAGAGGGGCATGTATATCCATATATGCTTGTACATGCATGTGTAGTGTAACCTAAGTGTAAGTAGAAGTAGCAAGACATACCTGAAATCTTGTGTGTTTATGAGACAGAAAAAAAACACCAGCAATCCTACCATCATGTAAAAAAATTAGAGGCTTCTGTTTCGCACTCACTTGGCAGGACAGTAGTACCTCCCTAGGTGGTTGATGTCTACTAACCACCGGTAATTTCATGCACTGGCCAGGGAGGTATACCATCTTTTAGGAGTGAAGAAGAACAGGATGTGAGTGTGGGGGAGGTGCATGAGGCATTATGTAGAATGTAAGGGAGTAAAGCAGCTGGAACTGATGGGATCATGACAGAAATGTTAAATGCAGGGGGGGATATAGTGTTGGAGTGGTTGGTATTTTTGTTTAATAAATGTATGATAGAGGGGAAGGTACCTAGGGATTGGCAGAGAGCATGTATAGTCCCTTTATATAACGGGCAGGGGGACAAAAGAGATTGTAAAAATTATAGAGGAATAAGTTTACTGAGTATACCAGGAAAAGTGTACGGTAGGGTTATCAATGAAAGAATTATAGATAAGACAGAATGTAGGATTGCGGATGAGCAAGGAGGCTTCAGAGTGGGTAGGGGATGTGTATATCAAGTGTTTACATTGAAGCATATATGTGAACAGTATTTAGATAAAGGTAGGGAAGTTTTTATTGCATTTATGGATTAAGAAAAGGCATATGATAGAGTGGATAGAGGAGCAATGTGGCAGATGTTGCAAGCATATGGAATAGGTGGTAAGTTACTAAATGCTGTAAAGAGTTTTTATGAGGATAGTGAGGCTCAGGTTAGGGTATGTAGAAGAGAGGGAGAATACTTCCCAGTAAAAGTAGGTCTTAGACAAGGATGTGTAATGTCACCATGGTTGTTTAATATATTTATAGATGGGGTTGTAAAAGAAGTAAATGCTAGGGTGTTTGGGAGATGGGGGTGGGATTAAATTATGGGGTATCAAATACAAAATGGGAATTGACACAGTTACTTTTTGCTGATGATAATGTGCTTATGGGAGATTCTACAGAAAAATTGCAAAGGTTAGTGGATGAGTTTGGAAGAGTGTGTGTAAAGGTAGAAAGTTGAAAGTGAACACAGAAAAGAGTAAGGTGCTAAGGGTATCAAATGATTTAGATAAAGAAAAATTGGATATCAAATTGGAGAGGAGGAGTATGGAAGAAGTGAATGTTTTTAGATATTTGGGAGTTGACGTGTCAGAGGATGGATTTATGAAGGATGAGGTTAATCATAGAATTGATGAAGGAAAAAAGGTGAGTGGTACATTGAGGTATATGTGGAGGCAAAAAATGTTATCTATGGAGGCAAAGAAGGGAATGTATGAAAGTATAGTAGTACCAACACTCTTATATGGGTATGAAACTTGGGTTGTAAATGCTGCAGCGAGGAGGCAGTTGGAGGCAGTGGAGATGTCCTGTCTATGGGCAATGTATGGTGTAAATATTATGCAGAAAATTTGGAGTTTTGAAATTAGGTGGTGTGGAGTTAATAAAAGTATTAGTCAGAGGGCTGAAGAGGGGTTGTTGAGAAGGTTTGGTCATTTAGAGAGAACGGATCAAAGTAGAATGACATGGAGAGCGTGTAAATCTGTAGGGGAAGGTAGGCGGGGTAGGGGTTGTCCTCGAAAAAGTGGGGAAGAGGGGTAAAGGAGGTTTTGTGAGTGAGGGGCTTGGACTTTCAGCAAGCGTGCGTGAGCATCTTATATAGGAGTGAATGGAGACGAATGGCATTTGGCACCTGACGAGCTGTTGGAGTGTGAGCAGGGTAATATTTAGTGAAGGGATTCAAGGAAACCGGTTATTTTTATATGGCCGGACTTGAGTCCTGGAAATGGGAAGTACAATGCCTGTACTTTAAAGGAGCAGTTTGGGATATTGGCAGTTTGGAGGGATATGTTGTGTATCTTTATACATAAATGCTTCTAAACTGTTGTATTCTGAGCACCTCTGAAAAAACAGTGATTATGTGTGAGTGTGGTGAAAGTGTTGAATGATGATGAAAGTATTTTCTTTTTGGGGATTTTCTTTCTTTTTGGGTCACCCTGCCTTGGTGGGAGATGGCCGACCTGTTAAAAAAAAAAAATAGTATTTATCTTTTCACATGTGTTCAGCCTTTTCCATACTCATAATCTGAAGCATAGAAAGAAGGTATAAGTTTGTCTTCCCGAAGCAAATGTTACAACTTAATGTAAAAAACATTTCCAAGTACAAAGTATGACAAAAAAAGTTATGAGAATAATAATTTATTGTCTAAAAGAATGAGGAAATCATAGACAACCTACATATCCATGTGCGTATAGTTACAAATACATAGACTGCCTATATGGGTAAATAAAATCAAGAAATTGCTTAATTCAGGTATACAGGAAAAAAATAAAAACTCGGTTTTTAATCATCAAATAATAAGGCACAAATATCTGGGTTTCCTTAATGAATAAGCAGGAATGTGTTCTTTCACTTGATTTAATTTAGTCCCGAGTGATTTAACAGTTTTAAGGGGCATACCAATTTTGACAACGTAACATATTTTGGCAAGAGTATGTACATATGCTGAAACTTATCCTGCTGAGTTTCAAGAGATTATTATAAACTACAATTACAACCCTAATATTCAATGCCAATGAATCAGCTATTTTGGAAGCATATGCCATGAAAAACCTAAACAAGGAAGGACTTCATACATAAAATAACCCACACAGAGGAGACAGAAGCTTATGACAACGTTTCAGTCCAACTTGGACCATTTACAAGTCACCTGAACTTACAAAGGTGAAGGAGCCAGCATACATAGGAGAGGGACAGAGAGAGAGGAAGTAAGAAGTGGAAAAGGTAATGCTGGTAGTGGAAGTAGTAGTAAGTAGGAAGAGTGGTGGTAAGTGGGGTTTTTTTTAGTGAGGGGATATTCTGCTTCCGTCCGCTGGTATCTTGGACCTACGATAGTCCTACTGTCTGCTGTCTCGCTCTAAGTTTAGACTTTGGCTTTCTGTCACAAATAAAGCTGAGCTCTATCTAAGACTTGGATGGTTGAGAGGAAAGGCAGTTCCATTATACAGTGCCATGGCGGCACTTTCTATCCATTGGAGGTGGAAGCCTATTCCCGAGCCCTCTTGGGGTGGGGGTGTGGCATGCAAAGAGTACATAACCTTTATTTGGTGCATGTAAACACCCTCATTAACCCCTTGACTGTTGCAACACCAAATCCTGAGGTGTCTCCTGGTGTCACAAATTTCCCCCCCCCAAAAAAAAAAATTATTTTTTCTTATGAAATGAGAGAGAATCTTTTCCCAATTGTAATGACACCAAAAGAACAAAATTTGATGGAAAACTGACGGAATTACGCTCTCACGAAGTTAACGACCTCTGCGATATTTACGAATCGGCGATTTCGCCCACTTTGAGCCCTATTTTTGGCTAATTCCATTGTTCCAGTAGACCAAACTCAGCTATTTCTTTAGAACTCCATTTTTTCTATCAATTGAGTACAAGAAACTGTCCATTTACTGATTTCAACTACCCAATAAAGTGGTCAGAAATTTGCAATTTGGCCAATTTCACGAAAATTAAAAAATATGACAATTTCAACATAGGGTCCAGAATAAACAATGCAGATATTCCTGGCTCTAAAATAACATTTTATTTGTTCATCAGTCACGTCTCCAGGCCCCTCTGATATTACTCTTGCTGTCTATTTTGAATTTTTATTCAAACAAAAAATAGAACATTTACTATCTTGCAGACTGCTGCAATATTGTAAAAATTGTATAAATAATGTCAATCCATTCATGACTGCATATTAGAATGGCTACTTGGACATTTATTAGACAATGACATCATTTATTTACTTTTGAACATCGGCAAGAATCAAACATTTCCCCTAGTTTGAGCTCCACTTCAAGGTTCTTTTCATAGTAAAACCAATCAAAATCACCTCTATGTCTATAATATGTTTTCCATTCTATCAAATGAGACCAAGAAAACGAGAATACAACCATAAATACTTTCCAAAAATAGACCACAAAATCTGCATTTTAATTAAAAAAAAAATGGTCGTAGTTTTTTTTTTTTCTCATTATGCACTGCGTGCTGCAAGATTTTTTTTATATGGTGCACACTGACCACACAGACCCATTCTCTCACACATGGGCCTACCAGCTTTCTCCTGCTTGATCTGAAGCCGCTAGAATTTATGAGTATATGTACGTCAAAAATGGTGGCTCATAAGATGTATATATACGACCAAAACAGTCAAAGGGTTAAAAGGCCACCTCCCCAACCAGTGAACCAGATACTAAGGGTCGGACGATCGTGGCCCCATCGTCAGATCAGTGTCTAGGTTCAACCAATCATAATGTGGATCTGGCAATTGTAAAGATGATGTGGTTACCACAAACATTTTTACCCTTGTCATTTCCATTCTAAAGCTGGTTGAAGCACGGTATTCTGCTGTTCTGTTGGCAGCTTCTTTGCCTTGATTACCGTGGTGTGCACTTATACCTATTGCTGTACATAGTGTATATAGTGTACATATTACTGTTTATACTTGGTGAAGGATAATACAAGTCAAATTTTTTCTGTTGTGTTTATTTGGCTCCCTTTACACTCAGGATAACAAGCCTTTGAGAACCTGGGTTGTAATAGGAGTGAAGCAAGGCAATAGTAATAGGAAGAAGAAGAAGAAGAAGAAGAAGAAGAAGAAGAAGAAGAAGAAGAAGAAGAAGAAGAAGAAGAAGAAGAAGCAGCAGCAGCAGTGGCAGCAATGGCAGTGGCAGCAGTAGTAGTAGTACTTCTTTAAGGTAGGACTTGCACCTTGTTTCACAGTAGCTTAGGACTGTTTAACCTTTGTCTTTCAACACATGAAGATTTTTAAGTGTAAACTCATGCTTATTTACAGTTCATAGAATCCCTATGCTTTGGAAGGTAAGGACAAATTATTCTTGACCATTTTTCCTTATATGTAAGAGTGATAAATAGATGGAATGAGTTGAGCAATGGCAGAATGGAAGCAAACTCCATACAGGTGTTAATAAAGATACAACACGGCATAATCATGACAGATGATTAAAAATAAAAGTGCTAATAAATGTCCACCAATGAGATCTATGGCAGAATTAATATGTTATTACAGTAATTTAAAATTAATAGGTAGTGCAATCTGCTAACCTGAGCTAATCTGCGAACCATGGTTGTGGCCTCCTCTAGTGTAGTAATTATAGACTGGGTTTCTAATGTTTCCCCACCTCCAAGTTTGCTGGTGATTGTGGTTAGGTCTGGACCAGTGAAATCTTCTGTCAGTTGACCTGCTGATGGTCGCGTGATAATCTCAATACCCTGAGCCACCAACAATGCACCTTGTTGTAGTAGTGCTATGTTGCACAGGGTTTTAGGATCAGCATCAAATACTGACTGGAAAAAATATTGAATAAAGAATTATTAGGTAATGTACTGATGACCAATTACAACAAAATTTTAAATTTATTCACAAAACTGCTTAAATGGTCAGATGTATAAATATTAGTTACCAAACACCACAGCTTCATTGAAAAAAATGATTATGAGTAGAGTATTATATTGTTATATGATTTGTAGAGGAAAAAATCTTTCAAAATACAGTACACTAAAATAAAAAAAATATATATTTAATAATTTTGCAGAATCTGACTGACCATACATGATTAAAATAAGATGGAAATAACTGTACCTGATACAGATTTCCGTATTGAGAGGCTAAACTGTTAAAATCTCGAGCTGATTTTGCAAGCTGCTGTGACACTCTGCCACACCTTAAGAGATCATCCCTAGTTGATGTTGCTAAAGATGCAGCAATAGCAGGAGGAGGAGCAGTGCGAAGAGAGAGGCAGGCATGGAGCAGTTGAGCATGGCACATAAAAGATTCTGCTCGAAGTCTCACATACTCCTGACAGAAAGTCATTGGCTGACTAGATGTGCTTGCAGCCTTCAAGAAAAAAAGTTATGACTGTTTTAACTGGTATCAATATTTATTAATGTAAGTATCTTTAAATAGTGAAAAAACATGTTACATGCTATGTAACATGTTTATATGTAACATATAAACATGTTACATAGCATGTTTATATGTTACATGCTATGTAACATATAAACATGAAAAAACATGTTACATGCTATGTAACATCTTTATATGTAACTTATAAATATGTTACATAGCATGTTTATGTGTTACATGCTATGTAACATATAAACATGATAAATACACCCCACAGTAGAATAAATTAACATACGTAACAGTAAGATAAACCTGTTCACTGGGATGATTTCACTGAAGACCGGGGTAGAAATTAGCCGATCTGTGGACCAGTATGCTTTTATATTATGCTTATAGACATGAGGCATAAGCATTATTGTTGCAAAAAGCAAATACATTTCTGCAACAGTCGTCTCTTTCCACCTGTGTAGTCTTGACTGTGGTGATATGATCGTATTTGCCATGGTGTACTCAAAATACTTATTACTTTCCCTGACAATAGTTTCCATCAATGGCTGGTCAAAGAATAATTCAAAGAATTCCAGTTCATTGGCCGTGGTTCCAAGGGGACAAGTAGGTAGAATTCCACTTTGAGAGTCATCAAAGTGGTGGGGCTTGGGAACAAAATTGGGATTTTGCTGCCAATCCCAGATACGGTTTGCTGGTGGATACTGGACATCATAGGCTGGTTGTGCGGGTGGTTGTGGTTGTGGTGGGCTGGTGGCTGACGCTCCGCTTTGTCCTTGAACTGAGGAGTCAGCAGCATGGGTCCCAGCCTGGGCTGGTGAGTCACGCATGGCGGTGCCACTACCATCACCACTACCACCATCTACTGATGCCTGTGGTCTATCCATGCCAAGTGTAGCCACATCATCCTCACTATCACTATCTAAAACCTGGTGTAGGGCCACGAGATGTACTCCGTCCCCTGGGCACAGCATAGGGTACACTACCCGAGCGCATGCGGCGGCGTACATACCGACGCTTCACTGGTGAATATGATTCCTCACTATCACTACTCGAATGATCGTCAAGTGCAATAAAATCACAATCCACGACACTATCATCATCATTACTGAAGTCAGAGGCCTGGCCACACGAAAATATTAGTTTTCTCTTGTGTTGAGGTACAACTGACCGTGGCTGACGAGTGCCCACACCAGAGGTAGAAGGTTCAGGATCGGCAGGGTTTTCTGCACTATTATCGATATCCTGGTCATTCCTTTCGGTCACTAACTGATCAAAGCCATAGAATTCGTCTTCATTTCCACTTTCATCAGTGTCAGAATTATCAGATAGGAAGAGGAGAGTCCCAATTTTCCATGGAGTGAGAGCTGACTTGCGACGAGGCATGGTGAACAAGGGTAACTGAGCCGGCGTTTCCACAATGCTATGCGGGCACCTAGATTTTTTGTTTATGGCACACACCCACCACGCAGACCCGTTCTCTCACATGTAGGCCTATGAGCGCTTTTGCGCTAAATTTGACAGCGCTAGAATTTTGGCGTAGATCTATTGTTTGGACACTCAACGTGAAGCCGTATATCTATGGGACAGACCCTGAAAGGGTTAATTTTCCCCATAAGAAATAATGGAAATCCAAATAATCCGTTCAAGACAGCCAAAAGTACAGGTACCATCCGACTTACGAGCTTGGTTCTGACCAACTGGTCGTAGGTCAAAATGGGCGTAAGTTGAACCATTGAAAATTGCTGACATACTGGGTAGGGCATAATGTCAAACCTTTCCGAATAATGTCAAACACTCTGAATTTTCTGCATAATATTTACACCACACATTGTCCTTAGACAGGACATCTCCACTGCCTCCAACCGCCTCCTCACTGCAGCATTTATTGTTTTGATTACAAGCTGTAAGCACAGCTCTAAAATTTAATGGATACATAGGAAAAAGGTAGCTTATGAGAGGTTTTTACAAAGCAGGAGTGTTATAAGAAGAGCAGAGTATATGGAGAGTAAAAGAAAGGTGAAGAGAGTGGTGAGAGAGTGAAAATAGAGAGCAGATGATAGAGTGGGAGTGGCACTGTCAAGAAATTTTAATGAAAATAAGAGAAATTTTTGGAGTTAAACAAGTTAAGAAAACCTAGGGAACGAATAGATTTGTCAGTTAAAAACAGAGTAGGGGAGTTAGTAGATGGGGAGATGGAGGTATTGGGTAGATGGCGGGAATATTTTGAGGAACTCTTAAATGTCAACGAAGAAAGGGAGGCGGTAATTTCATGCACTGGCCAGGGAGGTTTACCATCTTTTAGGAGTGAAGAAGAGCAGGAAGTGAGTGTGGGGGAGGTGCGTGAGGCATTACGTAGAATGTAAGGGAGTAAATCAGCTGGAACTGATGGGATCATGACAGAAATGTTAAAAGCAAGAGGAGATATAGTGTTAGAGTGGTTGGTATTTTTGTTTAATAAATGTATGAAAGAAGGGAAGGTACCTAGGGATTGGCAGAGAGCATGTATAATTCCTTTATATAAAGGGAAGGGGGACAAAAGAGATTGTAAAAATTATAGAGGAATTTGTTTACTGACTATACCAGGAAAAGTGTACGGTAGGGTTATTATTGAAAGAATTAGAGGTAAGATAGAATGTAGGATTGCGGATGAGCAAGGAGGTTCTAGAGTGGGTAGGGGATGTGTAGATCAAGTGTTTACATTGAAGCATATATGTGAACAGTAGTTAGATAAAGGTAGGGAAGTTTTCATTGCATTTATGGATTTAGAAAAGGCATATGATTGAGTGGATAGGGAAGCAATGTGGCAGATGTTGCAAGTACGTACATCCTAATTTATAAGTATTATTAAAGTGATGCAGTATCAGTGCAGTATACATGATATACCTGTATCAACAAAAGGCAATGTGTGGTGTAGATATTATGCAGAAAATTTGGAGTGTGGAAATCAGGAGAAGGTGTGAAGTTAATAAAAGTATTAGTCAGACGGCTGAAGAGGGGTTGTTGAGGTGGTTTGGTCATTTAAAGAGAATGGATCAAAGTAGAATGACATGGAGAGCGCATAAATCTGTAGGGAAAGGAAGGCAGGGTAAGGGTCGTCCTCAAAAAGGTTGGAGGGAGGGGGTAAAGGAGGTTTTGTGGGAGAGGGGTTTGGACTTCCAGCAAGCGTGAGTGAACGTGTTAGATAGGAATGAATGGAGAAGAATGGTATCTGGGACCTGATGAGCTGTTGGAGTGTGAGCAGGATAATATTTAGTGAAGGGATTCAGGGAAACTTGTTATTTTTATATAGTCGGACTTGAGTCCTGGAAATGGGAAGTACAATGCCTGCACTTTAAAGGAGGGGTTTGGGATATTGGCAGTTTGGAGGGATATGCTGTGTATCTTTATACGTATATGCTTCTAAACTGTTGTATTCTGAGCACCTCTGCAAAAGCAGTGATAATGTGTGAGTGTGGTGAAAGTGTTGAATGATGATGAAAGTATTTTCTTTTTGGGGATTTTCTTTCTTTTTTGGGTCACCCTGCCTTGGTGGGAGACAGCCGACTTGTTAAAAAAAAAATTTCCTCAAATATTACCCTAGTATTGCTAATATTAAAATTCAAAAGAAAAAATACAATTAGGTATAAGGTATCATATCCATTAAGCACATCTGTTAAAAACCTACAAATAGTTTTGATCTGCAATGTCTAGTGCTTACAAATTTAGTACATACAAGGAGGAGTGTGATTTCTAATTTTCATTTGGAAAATCCTTAATTTTGAATTGTTTCCTAATAAGAGAGAGAGAGAGCTTTTTAATAATTATTTTAATGTTTTTACAATTTAGACACCACAAGGAATGTTTAGCCCAAACAAAAGAGAAATTACTGAATAAAAATATCCATGAATCTCAACTTTAAAACTTGTACAGGTATTATAGTACTCAGCTTCTTGACTTCGATACAGATGGATGCTTGAAGGGCAACTATTGTAAGTATCCTTCATGACTGTAATACAATGAGGCACATTAATGTATCTGAATAATCACACTGTACACTACAATACCTTAAGAGCTGAAAGTGCTCTGTGAAGATGAGTGTTGGCTGCCGTGAGATTGTCAGCACGGTCACCAGGAGCTGCTGGGCTGGCTTCACCACGACTCACCTCACCCAGAGCAGAAACCCAGAAATGTTGTTGGTCAGAACACACCCGCCAACTAAGTACTCCATACATCCCAGCAGCCAAGTTATGGTGGCCATATCTAATTTAAATAAACATTAACTGAATGCTGAGAAAAGTGCTAAAAGAATAGAAACTAATAAAAAAAAATTGTCTATTAAGCTTCAATACTTAATAATGAACTATACAATGTTCCTAAACCTATAAACATAATTTTTTACTGCATACAAAATTAATACTATAAATACAGCACTGTTTAGTTTTCCAAGTACAGTGGTACCTCGAGTTTCGAACAGCTCCCAACTCAAACAATTATGTAAGTGTATTTTAGTAAGTGCATCTGTAAGTGTATTTTTGGGGGTCTGAAACGGACTAATCTAATTTACATTATTTCTTATGAAAACAAATTCGTTCGGTATCGGCACTTGAACAGCCTTCTGGAACGAATTAAGTTTGTAACTCAAGGTACCACTGTATACACATTTATTTTCTATGTTATAATTTTAAGGAATACATTAAGAGCAAAACCTCTTTCAAACAAAATGCAAAGGTTTATCAAAAATTTCCACTAACCTTGATGCCTGTCGGGCCATACAGAATGCTGCCCACTGGTTGACACATTTACTTGCTGCTACCACTGCACTCTCTGCCTGACTGGACCAAGTGTGACCATGGAACACTTGCATAACCAGTGTTACGAGTGTAACCTGGGTATACAGAGATAACATTTTCTGTGTGTGTGTAATTTTCAAAATTTCATAATTATAAAAAAAATGTAGCAAAATACCTACTGTGTATGTATGTATGTATGTATGTATGTATGTATGTATGTATATATGTATGTATGTATGTATGTATGTATGTATGTATGTATGTATGTATATATATATATATATATATATATATTTTATATATATATATATATATATATATATATATATATATATATATATATATATATATATATATATATATATATCTTTCTTTCAACACACCGGCCGTATCCCACCGAGGCGGGGTGGCCCAAAAGGAAAAACGAAAGTTTCTCCTTTTACATTTAGTAATATATACAGGAGAAGAGGTTACTAGCCCCTTGCTCCCGGCATTTTAGTCGCCTCTTACAACACGCATGGCTTACGGAGGAAGAATTCTGTTCCACTTCCCCATGGAGATAAGAGGAAATAAACAAGAATAAGAACTAGAAAGAAAATAGAAGAAAACCCAGAGGGGTGTGTATATATGTGCTTGTACATGTATGTGTAGTGTGACCTAAGTGTAAGTAGAAGTAGCAAGACGTACCTGAAATCTTGCATGTTCATGAGACAGAAAAAAGGACACCAGCAATCCTACCATCATGTAAAACAATTACAGGCTTTCGTTTTACACTCACTTGGCAGGACGGTAGTACCTCCCTGGGTGGTTGCTGTCTACCAACCTACTACCTATAATAAAGGGACATATATAATATATATATATTAATATATATATATATATATAATATATTATATATATATGTAGGTAGTAGGTTGGTAGACAGCAACCGCCCAGGGAGGTACTACTGTCCTGCCAAGTGAGTGTATAACGAAAGCCTGTAATTGTTTTACATGATGGTGGGATTGCTGGTGTCTTTTGTCTGTCTCATAAATATGCAAGATTACAGGTAAGTCTTGCTACTTCTACTTACACTTAGGTCACACTACACATACATGTACAAGCATATATATACACACCCCTCTGGGTTTTCTTCTATTTTCTTTCTAATTCTTGTTCTTGTTTATTTCCTCTTATCTCCATGGGGAAGTGGAACAGAATTCTTCCTCTGTAAGCCATGTGTGTCGTAAGAGGCGACTAAAATGCCGGGAGCAAGGGGCTAGTAACCCCTTCTCCTGTATATATACTAAATTTAAAAGGAGAAACTTCAGTTTTTTTCTTTTGGGCCACCCCACCTCGGTGGGATACGGCTGGTGTGTTGAAAGAAAGAAAGATATATATATATATATTATATATATATATATATCGGAGTGCAAGGGGCTAGTAACCTCTTCTCCTGTATATATTACTAAATGTAAAAGGAGAAACTTTTGTTTTTCCTTTTGGGCCACCCCACCTCGGTGGGATACGGCCGGTGTGTTGAAAAGAAAGATATAATATATATATATATATATATATATATATATATATATATATATATATATATATCTCTTTCAACACACCAGCCGTATCCCACCGAGGCGGGGTGGTCCAAAAGAAAAAACCAAAGTTTCTCCTTTTACATTTAGTAATATATACAGGAGAAGGGGTTACTAGCCCCTTGCTCCCGGCATTTTAGTCGCCTCTTACAACACGCATGGCTTACAGAGGAAGAATTCTGTTCCACTTCCCCATGGAGGTAAGAAGAAATAAACAAGAACAAGAACTAGAAAGAAAATAGAAGAAAACCCAGAGGGGTGTGTGTATATAGCTTGTACATGTATGTGAAATGTAACTTAAGTGTAAGTAGAAGTAGCAAGACATACCTGAAATCTTGCATGTGTATGAGACAATAAAAAGACACCAGCAATCCTACCATCATGTAAAAACAATTACAGGCTTTCGTTTTACACTCACTTGGCAGGACGGTAGTACCTCCCTGGGCGGTTGCTGTCTACCAACCTACTACCTAGGATTGTATATATATATATATATATATATATATATATAATATTATATAATATATATATATATATATATATATATATATATATATATATGTAGGTAGTAGGTTGGTAGACAGCAACCGCCCAGGGAGGTACTACCGTCCTGCCAAGTGACTGTAAAACGTAAGCCTGTAATTGTTTTACACGATGGTAGGATTGCTGGTGTTTTTTCTGTCTCATAAACATGCAAGGTTTCAGGTACGTCTTGCTACTTCTGCTTACACTTAGGTCACACTACACATACATGTACAGGCATATGTATACACACCCCTCTGGGTTTTCTTCTATTTTCTTACTAGCTCTTGTTCTTGTTTATTTCCTCTTATCTCCATGGGGAAGTGGAACAGAATTCTTCCTCCGTAAGCTATGCGTGTTGTAAGAGGCGACTAAAATGCCAGGAGCAAGGGGCTAGTAACCCCTTCTCCTGTATATATTACTAAATATGAAAGGAGAAACTTTTGTTTTTCCTTTTGGGCCACCCCACCTCGGTGGGATACGGCTGGTGTGTTGAAAGAAAGAAAGATATATATATTATATATATATTATATTCTGAGCACCTCTGCAAAAGCAGTGATAATGTGTGAGTGTGGTGAAAGTGTTGAATGATGATGAAAGTATTTTCTTTTTGGGGATTTTCTTTCTTTTTTTTGGGTCACCCTGCCTCGGTGGGAGACGACCGACTTGTTGAAAAAAAAAAAAAAAATATATTACATTATTTTATTATATTATTATATTATTTTCATACAGTCGGACTTGAGTCCTGGAAATGGGAAGTACAATGCCTGCACTTTAAAGGAGGGGTTTGGGATATTGGCAGTTTGGAGGGATATGTTGTGTATCTTTATATGTGTATGCTTCTAGACTGTTGTATTCTGAGCACTTCTGCAAAAACAGTGATAATGTGCGAGTGTGGTGAAAGTGTTGAATGATGATGAAAGTATTTTCTTTTTGGGGATTTTCTTTCTTTTTTGGGTCACCCTGCCTCGGTGGGAGACGGCCGACTTGTTGAAAAAAAAAAAAAAAAAAAAAAAATATATATATATATATATATATATTTATATAATATATATATATATATATATTTATATATATATATATATATATATATATATATATACAGTGGACCCCCGCATAACGATCACCTCCGAATGGACCAAATATGTAAGTGTATTTATGTGAGTGCGTTTGTACGTGTATGTTTGGGGGTCTAAAAATGGACTAATCTACTTCAAAATTTATTCCTTATGGGAACAATTCGGTCAGTACTGGCAACCTGAACATACTTCTGGAGTGAAAAAATATCGTTAACCGGGGGTTCCACTGTATGTTATGTATGTTATGTATATATATGTATATATATATATATATATTTTATATATATATATATATATATATATAATATATATATATATTATATATATATATATATATATATATATATACATATTTTTTTTTTAACAAGTCGGCCATCTCCCACCAAATATAATATGACTTCATATGTAGGTCAACCTGTGATACTGTACCAAAAAATCCTTAATTTTTTATACATCTCAGGGATAAGTCTATGCTTGTATTTGGGGGAATTTATGAAGAATAAAGAATGAAGATTTTATATCTTTGTAAAGGTTACAATGTGCAATTACAATTTTGATTTGTTAAGTACAAAGGAAGCCACTATCATGCCGGGGGATTTTGGGCAAACTAATCCTAGTACATAACAACTACTTAAATCTAGGCAAGATAAGAGTGGTTAACTTTTATTTAAATCTTTATTTACTTAATACTAATGCAAGGTAGTCAAGCTGGAGGTTTATAGGAATAATAATCTTGAAGTTGCACATAATAAAAACAATATTACAATTAATGGTTCAAGTAGTAATATATCATGGATTGGCAGATGTTTAATAGACTAGAGGTCATATAATATAATATAACTGAAGTTGTTTTGGTTGGTTTGGTTAGTATTGAGAGATGAGATGATTTTTAAGCAAAGTCCTAAATTTATAAGTAGTCAGGGGGATTCTTTTCTGGTTCAGGTAGTGAATTCCAGATCTTTGGGCCCTTTATTTGCATTGCATTTTTGCATAGTGAGAGACTGACACAAGGGATGTTGAAGAGTGCCTTGTGCCTTGTATTGTGACTGTGCGTTCTGTTGTACCTATCAAGGAAAAGTTTAAGTGAAGGGTTTATATTGGAGTTTAATATTCTGTATTAGGGATGTATCGGATATCCATATCCGCATCCGCACCCGCGGAACATCTGCACAATTTCTTACATTCGCATCTGCATCCTTATTTTTCTAAATGAGATATCCGCATTCGCGTCCGCATCCGCAATCACGTTCCAATATATATCCGCATTTGCATCAGCATCCGCCCCAAACAAAGAGGATGTGGTGGATATTATAACCTAAATTACACAGCTTGCATGTTTATTTCCCAACAGTAGGCCTGTTCCCCCATACTAGGCAGGTCTTTCACAAATCCAACCCACTAACAGAATAAACGCTACCTAAGCAATAAGCCTAGACAATTCTATTTACTCACGTGCACGTCCCACTCAAATCCAACCCCTCTCCCTCATGTACTTATCCAACCTAAATTTGAAACTACTCAAGGTAGTTTCAGATTTAGGTAATTTCGATAACCCTACTAGGTAGACCATTCCACTCATCAACTACCCTATTACTAAACCAATACTTTCCTATATCCTTCTAAATCTAAACTTATCTAATTTGAATCCATTTTTGCGGTTTGTATTTATCCAACCTTGTATTTATCCAACCTAAATTTGAAACTATTCATGTGTAAGTTCCACTGTGTGTGTTAGACTGTGACTGTGTGTGTGAGACTGTGTGACCGTGTGTGTGAGACTGTGTGACTGTGTGTATGAGACACACACAGTCAGTCACACTGTGGAGGTGTATGAATGGAAAACAAGAATTAATATAGGGGATGTAAATAATGTTTGATAAACATATTAGGTTGGATAAACACACGAGTAAGAGGGGTTGGATTCGAGTGGGACTTGCACATGAGTAAATAGAATTATCAAAGCTTATTGCTTGGGTAGCATTGAAAATTAGGTTGGGCAAATATTCTGTTAGTGGAATGGATTGTGAAGGACCTTCCTAGTATGGGCCAACAGGTCTGTTGCAGTGTTCCTTCTTTCTTATTTCCTTAAATGAATGTGACCTGACCCAACTAAGAGCATAAGAAAGAAGGAACACTGCAGTAGGTCTGTTGACACATACTAGGCAGGTCCTTCACAAATACAACCCACTAACAGAATAAACACTACCCAAGCAATAAGAACATAAGAATGGAGCAACACTCCAGAAGGCCTACTGGCTCATACAAGGCAGGTCCTTATCAAAACCACCACTACCCAAAGCTACTCAAGAATTCACTCCCGCACCCATGACACCAATCAAACTCATCTCCTCCCACTCATATATTTGTCCAATTTCTCTTTACAGCTACCCAAGGTTCTAACCTCGATCATAATAAGCTTTGATAATTCTATTTACTCACGTGCAAGTCCCACTCAAATCCAACTCCTCTCACTCTTGTAAAGTGGACCCCCGGTTAACGAACTTTTTTCATTCCAGTAGTATGTTCAGGTGCCAGTACTGACCGAATTTTTTCCCATAAGGAATATTGTGAAGTAGATTAGTCCATTTCAGACCCCCAAACATACACGTACAAACGCACTTACATAAATACACTTACATAATTGGTCGCATTTGGAGGTGATCGTTAAGCGGGGGTCCACTGTATTTTTTTTTTTTCCAACAAACCGGCCGTATCCCACCAAGGCAGGGTGGCCCAAAAAAGAAAAACGAAAGTTTCTCTTTTTAAATTTAGTAATTTATACAGGAGAAGGGGTTACTAGCCCCTTGCTCCCGGCATTTTAGTCACCTCTTACAACACGCATGGCTTACAGAGGAAGAATTCTGTTCCACTTCCCCATGGGGATAAGAGGAAATAACCCAAAAACAAGAACTAAAAGAAAAATAGAAGAAAACCCAGAGGGATGTGTATATATACATATATATGCTTGTACATGCATGTGCAGTGTGACCTAAGTGTAAGTAGAAGTAGCAAGACGTACCTGAAATCTTGCATGTTTATGAGACAGAAAAAAGGACACCAGCAATCCTACCATCATGTAAAACAATTACAGGCTTTCGTTTTACACTCACTTGGCAGGACAGTAGTACCTCCCTGGGTGGTTGCTATCTACCAACCTACTACCTAGACACTCTTGTATTTATCCAACCTAAATTTGAAATTATCCAAGGTGGGAGAATTGGACCTGCCTCGCATGTGCCAGGAGGCTTGCTACAGTGTTCCTTCTTTCTTTTGTGTGTAGCGTCAGTCATCTCTACATAACTCCACCTGTTGTGCATTCCTTGAGTGATGGTGAAATTGTTGAAATGGTGTTAAATACAAATAAGCATGTGATAAATGGTTTGGAAACTGACAGCTTGAAGAATTGAGACACTTATGCAACATATGGGAATCTTTATTGAAGAAACGTATCGCCACACAGTGGCTTCATCAGTCCAATACAAAGCAGGAACGCATAAGGAGAGGAGTTTCAGATAATCAGTCCCTCAGCCTGGAATCGATGTGTTCAGTCACTCACTCAACAAAAGTATTTGTCATACGGTAAAAAAAAAAATGGTGTTCTATGACTATCCTGCAAAATCCGCATCTGCATCCGAATCTGAGAGGATGTCAAGATGTGACATCCACAATCCGCATCCGCATCCGAATTGTACTGTAAGCAGATACCCGCATTTGCATCTGCATCCGCAAAATAAGTAAGACATCCGAATACACATCCGCATCCACCATATCCAAATTTTCACATCCGATACATCCCTATTTTGTATATGTAGTAGGCACAATAATGTGAGTGTAAGTCTCGTATATTTAGCAAGTTCAGGCTTTTGAAAAGTGGTGGGGTGTGCTGTCTGGCACAGGAGCTGGTAATCATCTGCACAGCAGCTTTTGGTTAGGTTATTAAAGGTTTAAGGTGGTTGGCTGTGGTTGATCCCCAGGCACAAACACCCCAGATGAGGTAGGGATGTATTTAAGAGTAGTATAGGGTAAGAAGTGTCATTTCAGGTACATATTATTGTATCTTGGAAAGGATGGCTATCGATTTGGAAATTTTCTTGGATATATGCTGGATGTGGGAATGAAATTTAAGATTACAGTCAAGAAGACCTAGAAATTTACCCTCAGTGTGTCTTGTAATAGGGGAACCATTTATCGATATATTAAGCTGGATATTTAAGGATCTTATAGGTAGTAGGCTGGTAGACAGCAACTGCCCAGGGAGGTACTACCGTCCTGCCAAGTGAGTGTAAAATGGAAGCCTATAATTGTTTTACATGATGGCAGGATTGCTGGTGTCTTTTTATTCTGTCTCATACACATGCAAGATTTCGGGTACGTCTTGCTACTTCTACTTACACTTAGATCACACTACACATACATGTACAAGCATATATATATATATACACACCCCTCTGTGTTTTCTTCTATTTTCTTATTAGTTCTTGTTCTTGTTTATTTCCTCTTATCTCCATGGGGAAGTGGAACAGAATTCTTCCTCCGTTAGCCATGCGTGTTGTAAGAGGCAACTAAAATGCCGGGAGCAAGGGGCTAGTAACCCCTTCTCCTGTATATATTACTAAATGTAAAAGTAGAAACTTTTGTTTTTCCTTTTGGGCCACCCTGCCTCGGTGGGATATGGCCGGTGTGTTGAAAGTAAGAAAGATTTAAGGATCTGTTTCCAAACAGCATGAAGTATGTTTTGTCTATGCTAAGAGTGAGTTTGTTGGTCATCATCCAAGTATATATTTTTAGCAGCTCATTGTTTACGGTGTCTCTAAGTATAGCTGGGTTTGAGTGGGAGTAGACATAAGTAGTGTCATCTGTGAATAGAACTAGTTTAAGGAGTTGGGATGCACTGGGGAGATCATTGATGTAGATGAGAAAGAGGAGTGAGCCTAGGACACTATACCCTGGGAAACTCCGACAGCTACAGGCTGGATAGTGGAGCTGACTCCATTTGTATATACATACTGGTGTCTATCGTTAAGATAAGATTTTATGTAATTAAGGGTATGTCCTCTGATGCCATAATGATTTAGTTTTAGGTGCAGGAGATTGTGGTCCACTGTATCAAATGCTTTCCATAGGTCAATGAAGAGCCCCAAAGGATATTCATTTTTATCGAGGGCTGTCTGTATTATTTTAAGTAATTTGTACAATAGCATCATTCGTACTTTTTTTTGGTCTAAACCCAAACTGGCAGGGGTTAAGTGTGTTGTTTGATATAAAGTAGGAGCAAAGCCGTTTGTGTATTATTTTTTCAAATATTTTAGAAAGTAAGGGCAGGTTTGATATAGGTTTATAGTTTTTCAAATCAGTTGGATCACCTCCTTTGAGGATTGGGGTAACCCTTGCTGTCTTGAGAATGGATGGGAAGGTTGGAGACTCTGAAGATTTGTTAAACAGTGTTGCAACAATGGGTGACAGCACATGAGCAGCTTTTTTATATATGAATGGTGGCAAGTTTAGATCTAGATCTCCTGCTTGTTTTTTAATGATTTAATGATGAATGTGACATCAGTATAATTAGTTGGAGCTAGATAAAAGGGGCTAAATGATTAAACCATACCCCCGGCCGGGATTGAACCCGCGGTCATTACGATGTCATTACGTGTCATTACGATTTCTTGAGTCAGGCTAAATGATTCTAATTCAAAATGTATTCCATCCAAAACTGGGGGAAAACAAAATAAAAATGTGCCAATTGATAAACAGAAATAAAGAAGCACTGCAGTAACCTATTGGTCCACGCTAGGCAAGTTCTACTCACATCCAACCTGTATATGGCACTGCACAAACAACCTGCATATAGGAAAATGAAACTTATGATGATGTTTTGGTCTGACAAACCATTAACTAGTAACACAAAAGTACAATACAAAGGGAGCCAGTATATATGAGAGGGGAAGGGAGTAGTAAAATGAGAGGAGGTAGTAGTATAATTGTAAAAACAGAACAGTAGTAGTAGTAGAAAAAAAAAATA